TTTTTTCAGCATGTATTGTAGTACATAATGATTAACAACCAAACTGAAAGTTTTTGAGTATCTAAAAAATTTGCAACTGGGTTGTGTTGTTTACAATGTTTGTGAAGGTTAAATTCTGAATAAATCTTAGAGTACAGCACTAACAGTGGTTTCTTTTTTTTTTTTTTTTAAGATTTTATTTATTTGAGATAGAGAGCAGGAGGAGGGGAGCAGAGTTAGATGGAGAAGCAGACTCCTTGCTGAGCAGGGAGCCCGACGTGGGGCTCGATCCCAGGACCCCGGGATCATGACCTGAGATGAAGGCAGATGCTTAACTGACTGAGCCACGCAGGCGCCCCCTAACAATGGTTTCTTATGGATTGCTATTTTTTTCATAGATCCATCAAGAATGAAATTTTCCTGTTCCCTCAAAGTCTCCATTTTGCCTTGACACCTTAGTGCACATATGAAGGCCCCATTTTCACCCCTAGAATAAGAAGGTCTTGGCAGTTACCTAGACAGATCAGCCATCCTTCACTTCTGCACCTTTGTCAGATGCCTCTGATTGATAATGGTGGTTTCCTGGTCAGCCCAATTCCTGTCTTTCTCAAGACAGAGCTCCCTATAGTCCTTACCTTTTCTTTTTTTTAAAATCAGGATTGACCCCTTAAATGAAGCATGACCCCTTTCACAGCATGACAAATTCTAGAAGACAGAATACCTCTACACGAATGGTTTTCTCTGCAGTACAAACATCTTGCTTTAGGAAATATCAGTGAGTTTTTTGGGGAGCATAACAACAGAAAGCAAAAAAAGCCATGAGCCTGTAATATAGAACAAGGACATGTTCTTTTAATTACAAACACATTTTTTTTTTCTGGGAGAAACAAAACAGCAATAAGAGAAGGATATCATAGTTTCAAACAACAAATCTACTTCACACAAGTGTCTGGTTGATTTATTTCATTGTTCAGCAGGCAGTAAAAGGTGTTCTATAATCATGTCTGCATAGCATAGCCATATTTGAAGATGTTGCTATGATGTAATAATACTTTGTGTTGGACCTCTGATCCCCATAAGCAGAAAGATAGTTAATGGAGTGTATGCATCATCAAAATGTAAACTTTTATATGTTCTTTCAAAGTGGTTATGTTGGATAGCATATAAAAGATCACTGACTATTTACCACAGTTATGGTTATTACTAATTGATACATGTACTGTCACTAACAAATGGAAGTTTTGGCTCTAGAGCTAAAAACTACCAAATTCTACTACTAGACAAAAGAGAAAGAAAAGAAATTAGCTTTTTTGGAGAATATTGTTTCGGCATGGTATTAAGTACTAAGAGAAAAATTATCAAGCCTTTGAAGCCTTCCTTAATATTGGTTAAGCAAAAAGACAAATACAAGAGTATTCATGATCGTTAGGGCCTTTCTGCTTTCTCTTGAGACTTCCTTTAGATTGCATTCACTAAAGAAATTTAGTGTTAGACATGGTGTTACTCTACGAAATCAGAATATCGTACCTGGGGCATATAGAATGCTACCATAAAAATAACATGAGGAGAGACCCATCGTTCATAAATAGTGTTATTGAAACAACACAGCACTGTTCTTTGTTTGTGACTATATAGCATGCCCAAACTGAATTATAAGTTCACTTATAGAAGTAGTGTTGGTAATGGCTTTTAGCCCCAAGACCTGCTTCAGATCATACAATAGGCAGCAAGTTGCCTAGAAAAGTGATTTTTAACTATTAACTAGAGCTTTGGCCCCAAATCCTTGACAGAGAAACTGTTTATTCCCCCAACCAGTGCTAAAATCCCGGTTTGGAACTTGACACTCTGATAAGTCTCGAACAAATGAAGAACAAGAGAGGGAGTTTCTCCCCCTTTACCTGGTAGCAGGCTGACCAATACCACTCACCCTAAGGCTTCTCATGAACGGGCCCAGCTGGTGAATGAGTAAGAAAGCAAAAAAGAAGAGAGATTTTCCACTCCATCTAAAATAAAAGGAGGAGAGAGATGTCAGTGTTGTGTTCTGCCCTTGCCAGATACAGAGATAAAATTTTAGGATTGAGCACTTAAGTGCTGGAAAAGTCCATCACAGCAAACCAGTTAATCACTTTGCACCTCTGGAGGAGGGAGTGGGATTGGGACATGGTGGAGGAGCAGTGGGTGGTGAAAGGGTCTTTAACTTTTAATTGTATGTGACTTTATAGTTTGAATTGTTTATAATTGGAATGTATTCATGTGTTTTTTGTTGTTGTTGTTAAAGATTTTATTTATTTGACAGAGAGAGAGACAGCGAGAGCAGGAACACAAGCAGGGGGAGTGGGAGAGGGAGAAGCAGGCTCCCCGCCGAGCAGGGAGCCCGATGCGGGACTTGATCCCAGGACCCTGGGATCACGACCTGAGCCGAAAGCAGACGCTTAACGACTGAGCCACCCAGGCGCCCTTTGTGTGTTGTTTAATGTGATGTATTCATGTGATGACTCAAGTAGGGGGCAAAGAATCAGATTTTGCCAAATAACACAGAGGAAGGGTCTTTGGGGGCGGAAACAACGGGATAGCAATGACCTAGATTTGAAAGCTCTAGTCACAGGACATTGAAAACCAGTATGACAGGAACATTGTGGGCAGTGGTAGGTGGAGCAGGACAGATTGATGGGAATGAGCTTGCGGGTGCCTTGCATCCCCTCATAAGGACTTTGGATCTTATTCACAAGTGGTGAGAGACTAAAGTAGAAATAATATTTTAGTAATAAAGCATAGCAAAAGCATTCAAAGACATTTTTGAAAAGGTTCATGCATACCACTGTCACTACTCTTTTTGTGCTTCTAGTCTTTACCCATCATACTTTTTTTTAACCTATTTGTAATCACAGTCTATATATCATTTTTTTTTGAAGATTTTATCTATTTATCTGACAGAGAGACACAGCAAGAGCAGGAACACAAGCAGGGGGAGTGGGAGAGGGAGAAGCAGGCTTCCTGCTGAGCAGGGAGCCCGATGCGGGACTCGATCCCAGGACCCCGGGATCATGACCTGAGCTGAAGGCAGACACTTAATAACTGAGCCACCCAGGCGCCCCTATATATCATTTTGTGTTCTGTTTTCACCCAATCTTATAAGAATTTTCCATGATACTACTATGGAAGATTTTAAGCAAGGGAGTGATATGATCAGCTTTGTCTTTTAGAAAGGTTACCCTGGCAACAGTACAGAGATGGCTTGGATGGAAAAAGAATCATAATGGGGTAAAGGGTAGGGAATGTGTTCAAGAGATGTTTAGGGAGTTCTGCCCCAGTGGACCGAAAGAAGAGAGTTCTAGCACAGACAAAGAAGTTTCTTCCTGAATCCACATTGGTAGTTGAGAGCAAGCCTTGCTCCTCAGCCAGATAGAAGTGCTGCCTGATTCCTCTTGGAAAGCCCTCCTCTGCCTTCAATATTTTATGCTAGTTTCAGAGATCTGATTTCATTTTGAAGTAGGCTGAGCTCCGAGAGTCTCTGCAGAGTCTAACCCACTGGTGACTAATTAACACAGTGCATGAAAGCAGTTTTACTTGTGCTAGGCAGCACTTGGAGATAGTGCACAGGGAATAGTGTTAATGCTGTACTTCTTTAGGTACTTTGCCGGTTATTCCAGTGGTCCGGAGTGTGTGTGTGTGTGTGTGTGTGTGTGTGTGTGTGTGTGTGTGTGTGTGTAGTAATGATAGAGGTTCAGAAAACTTTTTCTTGAATGAAACTGTTATTATTGTTATTATGGTAGTATACATTAATTGAAAAACTTGCTACATAAAGTTACTTTCAAAATGGTATGTTAGGAAGGGAGCACTAGACTTAAGCCATGGGATAGATTCTGCTGCTGCTGCCCAGTCTTATAGGGCAAGTCATTTAATCTCTCATGCCTAGTTTCTTCACCTTGAAAAATGTAGGAACCTCTGCAATGTATATGCTACCATTTCAGCAATTCTTTTCTTTTTGCTAGGGATAAAAAAAAAAAAATTGATCTGTAGTAGTTGATAGAATAATATACTGTAAGTTACATTTTATCAGTAATAGCATGGGGGCTATTACTAAATATGGGAAGCCTATGAACTAGTGTCTGCTGTAAACAGCCTTCATTAAAATCTTTAATTTTAAGGTTGCTTCAATCTGTACTTGGCATTCTAATCTAGTTTCACTGTTATTTAGCAGACTGGTAGAATTAAAGACCAAGTAGACAGGGTAGCAGGGTAAGAAAGGTTTGGGGGTTGCTCTCCCCCACCCTTTCCTCTCTGTCCATTCCTACCCCCGTCTTCTTCCTTCTTGCTGATGAGGGCACAAATCTCACATGTCAATGTAGATACCGCTATAGCAGATTGTAGATGGTAGTTAATCCTGTATATTTTTAGAGACTTTAACACTTTTGAAATTTTACTTCTGTAAAATCTCACTTTAAGTTTTAGCTTCTCTTTTTATTTAAACATAAAAATCTCAAAACTGTTCAGGTCATAGAAAATTCCTCTTCACTAATTCATTTAGAAAAGACTTTAGTAAATTGATTCTCTATAATTTATTTGTTTAGACATAGGTGCATACCTTGCCATTTCAAAAAAAAAAAAAAAAGATACCTGGTTTCTCCTTCCTTTGCTATTTAGAATTAAGTCATCTTTGAAGATACGTTTTCCCTTAAAGTTGCAGGACATTTTATATAATTGAAAGAGTTGGAAGGAACCACAACATTATAACTTCCTGTCAGATGCTCCATAGAAGTGAACACAGACTTGGCTACATTAGCCAAGAAAAGCCTTATTAGCTCTACCTGGAGAAAAGCACTATCATATTTGGGCCTTCATGATGTTTGCATATTGCTTTGCATATATATACATAAAGTTTCTTTGGTGACTTCCTGTGTTTGATTTTAATTTTTGAGTAAATGAGATTTTGTAAAGGTGGATATGTTATATTGGCATAATGTCTATTTAAAAGAAACCACTACTGTCTACTGAAAAAAAACACTATTTTGTTTCCACAGAAACCTGCTAATATTTTAGTTATGGGTGAAGGTCCTGAGCGAGGAAGAGTAAAAATTGGTATGTTTTATCTTTGATAAGTCACAGTGTAGCACTCTTAAAACTTTTGCAGTCAGCAATATCACTTCTAACTTTTGCTGTAATAAAATGCGTATATTCATGTAGTTCCTTCTGATCAAAGCCATTTCTAAAGAGTTTACATTAAAAGTGAAAAATGTTTCATACTTTTAAAAGGTGTCAGACAATCTTTAGAGATTGAAGTGTTCTAATTATAAAATAAGCCATGGAAGTTTCTTAGAAACCTTTGCCTTTATTTAAAATAGCCTATGGAGGTGAGTGGCTTCTATCCATGTTAAAAGCCTGCCTCACCTTTAGTCACAAGGGCATACAGCATACTCGTAATTATAGCATCAGTTCTGTTCACCTGAGCCAGATGAGATCAGAACATTTGCCTCTGTTGACCTTTCAACATTAGGAATTACAAACTAGGAAAACCGCTGAGGCTGGATAGGTATAGAACAAACGAGCCTGTGTTATAGAAGGCCTCTACCTGATGGGAAAAGAAAGTAACAAGCATTCTGTACCTTGGCATGTTTTTGTAATAGCTCTGTTTTTACCCAGTTCTGATCTGGTACCTATAAGGATAAAACTGAATTTATTTATTCTAGCTGGTTTTTTTCATTGTCATTTCTAAGTTATGTTTGTCACGTTTATTTAGTTTTGTGTGTGGGTAGAAGAAATGTTGTAACTAAATTATGTTACTTTAAAGGCAGCAGGATTGTGGGAGTATATAAAAAAAGTAAAGAGTAATTTCTGATTACAACATTTAATATAAATTCAAATTGTCAGCTAATTTGTACCACTTAACCAACAAAGAAAAACCTAAGTGTTCTTACCCTCTCTTCCCTGTCTTCCCCTATAAATTCCCCATCTCACTTTCCACTTTTAATTAGACTCTCAGAATACTCTTTTATCGTACAAACCTCACAAATTTTTTAGTGTCACAAACATTTGACGTACCTCGAAGTACTCCTAGTCATTGACTCCCTTTGAGAGCCAGGCCCTGTCAGTACCTATGCCTGTTAGGTCCTTACTTTGTTTTAAAAAGTCCAATTTGGTTGCATCAAGTGCAAATGTAAGTTCCAAGTGTGCAAAATAGAAAAGACCCAGCCAAACAGTAGCTACAGAGATGTTTTTTATTAAGATTTGGGGAAATTTTATATAACAAAATAATCTAGTTTGGAATTATATGTAATGCACATGATGTTAGCAGGTTTGGGGGGATACTAATGGCTTAAAGCATTCACATTTAAGAAGAAATACTAGTTCTTCTATAAACCATTATTTAGTAATCTGAGTCATGGTTTTAATTCTTTACCAAATTTCTGTGTTTTTTCTTTTTTTAACGTCCTTAATTAAGTAGGTTAGACGAGGGCCTACTTCATTAAAAATGTATATTAGGAGAGCAAAACCAAACAAAAGGTGGATGAATATTGAAATTTTTGATAGGTGGTAAGAATAGATGATTGTTCATTCGACGTGTATTTGATAAAAGCTATGTGTAATGACACTAGATAGATACTAAAAGAGATGAAAAAAGATAGTTTTGCCTTTAAGATTACAGTTTAATAGGATCAACAGTCTGAATTAACTATACTACATATTAAACTGTGTCAAATGCCACAGCTCCAGTTCTGAGCTAGGAGTTTATGACATTTGTCAAATCATTTAATTTCTTCTTTTGAAAATTTTTTCTTTTTTCCTCCTGAAAACGGAGGTGATTGAACTATATGACCTTTTAAAAGGTCTTTTCCAGCTTAAAAAAATTACTATGATTCTTTAAAGTTAAGTTAATAAAATTCAACCGAAATAAATGGGAGGGCAGATAGTGGTGTTAACATACTGTATAGTCCACTTCTGATTACCCCAGTGACCAGGCTTATTGATGCAAATAATGGAAAGCCTTACTGTAACTGATATAGTTTCTCAGTGCTTGTGACCAATACAAAGAATGGACATGCAGCTTAACAACCCTGTCCTGAGTGGTGACATGACAGGTAGAAAGAAATCTGCCTGGGGTGTAGGGTCACCCTTGACCTCTGGCAGCAAGCATATCTATCACCCAGGTGAAGAATTCACATTTTCCCCATCTTACTAAATATCAGTGGTAAAATTAATCGACTAAATTTGTAAAAATCTTTTGACTTAACATTATTATTATCTTTTTTTTACAGCTGATATGGGCTTTGCCCGATTATTTAATTCACCTTTGAAGCCTTTAGCAGATTTGGATCCAGTAGTCGTAACATTCTGGTACCGAGCCCCAGAATTACTTCTTGGAGCGAGACATTATACCAAAGCTATTGGTGAGTAGAACTAATTAAAATTCCATGACATTTTAAAAGTGGCTTTGTTATTATGAAATATACATATTTCTCTATGTTAAGTCAAATAATACAGAAAATGATAAAAGTAAGAACAAAAACTATCCTAAAATTCCACTACCTAGAAACACCATTATTAGCATTAGGAATGTAATATTCTAGCCATCTCTTTCTGATAGATAAATAGATATTTTAAAACTTTTTAAATATGTGGGATCATACTATGCATTCTAAGTAAAAATGTATTTTAAATTTTACTTGAAAAGAGAAATAAGCACGGTAAAATTTCTAAACCATTAAACTTCAGATAAATGTTTCTTTCACCAAAAGAAATATTTACTTCTAAAAGATCCCCTTGGAGTTAAGGAGAAAATATTATGGAAAAAAGTAGAAGTTTAGAATATCTTAATTCACCTTTCAATTTTTGATTATGTTGATTACTCCCTACTCTGAAGAATTAGGAAATTAGTACTCTTTAACTTCTTTCCCACCGACCTCTCAATTTATAAGCTATGTTAGAAATATTGTCATTATTATTACTACTTTGTTGATGTTTATGACATTTGTTTTCTATTTACAAACCATAATTCCCACAGTTTATACTCAGATTATATATTGTAACAGATTCAGTGCTCAATAACCACAGTCCTTTTTCCACATCTTTACCATTACTGACATCTTTATTCTGCCTCATTTTATTTCATTGAATTTTATCATCGTGTAATTTTCTTATGTGCTTTTCTTTTCTTTTTCCCTTTGTTGTATGTCTTTACTGCTTACCTAACTTGTTCTGTGTTCTCCAGAATGGCATTGAGTCTGCTTTTGTTTTTCTTGGTTAACTCCATCCTGAAGTCTTCTGTGCTATGCTGTATTCTGGATTGATTTTCATCCTGGCTTTTTTTTTTTTTTTTTTTTAATCCTCTGAGTTGGATATATTTCCTTCTGGGCTTTATTATTTTGCTATAGCATAGTCTCAGCTTGCTTTGGAAGGGTGTCTTGGAGGTAAATTTTCTAGTTCTTGTATTTCTGAAAAAATGCCTGTGTCTTCCTATATCATGCAGTTTGGCCAGGTTTAAAATTCTAAGTACAAAATAACTTTCCCTCAGTATTTGATGATGCTCTTCCATTGTCTTGTAGCATCAGTGTTGCTAATGAAGATTCATGCCAGTCTTGTACTCATTCCTTGGTGGATTACCTGGGTGGTTTTTCTTTCCAAAAACAAATAGGATTTCTTATCCTTATATTTCACAGTAATGTGCTGGCCACTTGGTAGCCACATTCAGTGTGAAGTTCATATCCCACATCCCATGTCTGTAGAAAACTCTTAAACTAGTCTTTGATTTCCTCCTATTTTCTGTGTCTCTCTTTCCTAAACTGAGTGTGGGCAAATATTGGACTCCTGAGGCTGATCCTTTATACCACTTTCCTTATGTTTTTCTGCCCTTGTCTTTTTTCTCTAAGAACCCCTTCTTATTCTCTATTAGTTTTTTGTATTATTTTATGGGAAAAAAAGTATCTCAACTATCTGAGGATGGTGATAACAGTGCTTTTTAATTGTTTGTAATTTGCTGTATTGCTGGAATAATTATGTGTTTTCTTTATAGGCTCTCTTTTTATTTATATGTCGTGGTCTCTCCCTTCCACGTGGCAGTGTTCTTCCACTATTTGTTGACCCTCAATTATCTCTTCATATTTAAGAATCAGCTTACAGAAAAGTAGTTGGGAACTCTGTGTACATAGATCATAGGGCTCATTGAGTGGCAGATTTCAGGGTGATCTAGCAGAGAACTACCATTAATGGGGGGATCGCCAAGTGCTAAGCATGCACAAGCCTTTGTCCTGAGGCCATTCAGATTCTTTAGGGGAAGAGTCTTCCAACTTCGGGCCCTAGTTTTGTGTACTAGGTAGCTCCAGGGCAGCGGAGGGGAGCAGGAGAAGGAGAATCAACTGTTCAAAACATAGACTTTGGGAGAAAAAAAAAAAAAATACAGACTTTGTAGCTGGTCCTCTACCCAGAGTTGTACAAGACAATCCTGCTTCACACTCAGCAATAATACTGTGGCCTGGGGCCTTCTCTGAGCTGTTCCATCTGCCTTCCATCTTCCCAAAGTAAAGTGTTCTTATGTATCTCTGCCTAGATCAGGTCTTCATATGGCCAGTCTCTTTTTTTTCATTCAGATCTTAGTCAAAACACTACCTCTTCAAAGAGAACCTCAATGATCACAGTATAAAGTATACTTTATACTGTATAAGTATAAAGTATACTTTATACTGTATAAGTATAAAGTAGTGGGAAGTTCCTCATCCCACTTCCACCTTACTGCCTTGATAGCATTGAATATCTAAAGTATCTAAAATCCACTAAAAGAGATAGACCTTGCCTAGCTGGTCACCCTAGTAGGCCAGTGCCTACATGGTACACAATGAGAACTCAGTACTCTTTGTTGAATGAGTGAATGAATCTTGTCCCCAGTGATCTCCTCTTGTTCTTTTTATTACTATGGATCACTATTACCTTTCTTACTTTGCTGCCATTTCAGTGTATACTCAAGAAGGGAAAAGAAGAAATACTTGTGATCATTCCCCCATTCCCCCATATTAATCTTGAACCCAACATGCCTTTCTTCAGAAAATCTTTATGTTCACTAATCTTCATAACTGCTTTGAGATCACATTTCATTTTATAAAAAAGTAAAGGTAGATAAAGTTAAGTCAGTTAGATATAGGACTTCTCTGTACTACCTTTGCGACTTTTCTACAAATCTAAAATTACTCCAAAATAAAGTGGTTATTTTTTAAAAAGTCAATTGGAAGGAAAAGTAAAAATTATTGAAGCTAGTCCTGTTTTTGAATACGTATTATTACCTACACATACATTTGGTTTTCTTTTTTATAAGTATATTTTAAGTGCTTAGCATATAAACTAATATGATACATAGCTATTTTTTCCACCTAGGAAATGAATATTTAAAAGCAGTGTTACTTTTGATAAGACATATTAACAGACTACACAGATAGGGAAGTGATTGCCTGGGATGACTGGGTGGCTCATTTGGTTAAGCATCTGCCTTTGGCTTGGGTCATGATCCCAGCGTCCTGGGATCGAGTCCCACATTGGGCTCCCTGCTCAGTGGGGAGTCTGCTGCTCCCTCTGCTTGTGCTGTCTCTACCTCTCCCCGTGGCAAATAAATAAGTAAAATATTAAAAAAAAAAGAAATGATTGCCTAATCTTAGCTGTTACAACTGAAAACTTGAGACTTTGTATTCCATCTCAGAAGCTTGTGACTCTGACTTACTATTTATTTTCTTTTTCTCAAGAAACTTACATTTTATTGTGAACATTGCAATTTGTTTAACCTATTATTATTCACTAGGACAATCTACAGTCTGGCAGTTTTGATGCAGGGCTGTTTGTCACAAAGCTAAACTACCAGCAGTTAGGTAGATTCCCTTGTTCAAATGGCTTTATAATTTGCAAAAGAGAAGGCCTTTCTTCATATTTTTCCTCTCCCTCCTTCTCATCATCAAAATTTATTGGATAACTCTTACGTAAACTTTTTAAAACTTAAGAGAAACCAAAATGTATGCAAATTAATCTGACTTGTAGCCTTAGCTTTGTCACTCAGGGTGTGTGTGTGTGTGTGTGTGTGTGTGTGTGTGCGCGCTCCCGTACGCACGCACACATGCTCACCCTTATGCAAAGCATTTAGTTCTTTAGCCTCATTTTTTGAAGGTGAGAATTTAGACCAAATCATCTCTTAGGTCCCCTTTAACTCCGAAAGTTCTGTGACCTTGGATAAAACAGTTGCTTCTGAGGTAGGAAGATTACAGAGGGAACTAACTGGGGTGCAGATGATTGAAACCAAGGTCAGGCCAGAGCCTCTGTGGTGGCGATCCCCACCCCATGTACATCTAACTTGGCCAAGAGCAATCTTGGAGAACACTTTTCTTTTATGAATACATTGGTTCAAAAATGTTACAATATGGGTATCTTTTTTTTCAAGAGAGAGAATTATACATAAACCATTTTTAATACAAATTTTTAAAAATAGAATAAAGGAATAAAAATGAAAACCTCTTCCTTGATTCCAGTCTTTCCCACACAATCCCATTCCACCTGTTACTTATGTAAGTGCCCAAGGGTCCATTAAAGTACAAATTCCCCACACCGCAGTGAAAGCTACTTATCAACTTGCCTAGCATTTTTATTTCCCTAGATAGTTGTAGTTTGAGCAGCTAATAGAAGAACTTTTGTAGTTGAATGCACAGATTACTTATTCAGTAGTTCATTTTAATGGCATCATTTAGAAAGGTGAAATCTGCTAGTGGAGTTTGGTGGATTATGTTAAACAAGCCTACTAAGAAGCAGCAAAAGAGCACAGGGGAAAATGTTCCCATCCTCTATTACAAACAGATTTTAGTGCTGCAGTCTTTTATTCACTTGTACAAAGCTGCAAGCTGAATCATTAAACTGAAGAGAGTAGATAATAGGTTAGTAAACATTGTACTCCCAGTGACAAAGTTTAATTCAGTTTTGAGTGTTTTGGGGTTTTGTTTGGTTGACTTCATGGAGAAGGCTGAAAGAGGAGTTTCAGTCTTTAATCATCACTAAAGCAGTCTTAAAGTTTTACTAAAGTATGGACTTTTAAACTCAGATGTTTGTTCTCAACTGAATGCTCACTAATTATGTAGCATTCTATTAAGTGAGAAATATACTATAAGATAGGGAGAATGAGAATTTACTCTTTTATTAAGGTAGAAACTTGCTTTTAATACATCTGTTGATTAATACATTATTTAACAAGCTCCCCCCCCCCATTTGGGTCTACATAGCCTGCTAATCGCTGTCTACTTTGCCTAGTTAGCTCAATAGCTACACAAAGCATCACAGATTTTGAGAAGTAGATGAGATTTATATGTTTTTACTTTGGGAAGTCTTTCTAGAAGGAAATAGGCAGGTAGGTGAACAGGAAAGGACTTTTCCATGAACTTGGCACATTCTGAAAAAAAAAAAAATTAGTCAAGAAGGAGAGACTTATGTACACAGATTTAGAAATTTGTCTGAAATAATAACCTGCTTAGCTAACTTAATTTCATGATTAATGTCTGGATCAGGATTTTGAAGAAAGGAAGGATGATGAGATTGCCAAAAGGTAAGAGATACTAGAAAAGATACAAAGAGGTTGTGAGGGTAAGGTTAAATAAGCAAGGTTTAAGAAACGATTTCTTCCTACTTTCTGACCTTTTATTTTAGAAGCAGTGTCACTTTAAGGATAGCTACACCACTTACTTACCTCTCATCTTCCTTTACATGTTAGTTTTCTTTCGTATTTTTCCTAGCTAACCAGAATGAGTTGTTACAGTGTCTTTTGGATGCTATGAGTAGTTTTAAACATGCAAATTGACCCATTGGCCCTTTCTGTGATGCTCCGCAGCTTTCCTATCTTCCCTTTGATGAATATTCTCATAAGTCAAGTTATCGTATGGGGTACATATGTAAAAAGAATAATCATAAAATAATTTTTCCATTTACTTTATGATACTAAAAACAAAATAGCTTGGCTAGTATCTCTTCATACTTTTCTGTATGGTGGTATTGGCTAACTTGGTTCTCTGATGTGGGAGAAAACAGATATGCAAACACTGTCCTTTTAAAACTCGATTGTAGTTAGGGTGTATAATCTTAATAAATAGATGATTAACTTGTTACTCTGAAATACGTAAATATGATAATTTTACATTAAAGATCTATATTCCAATTGTAGATTTTAGGAATTCTGAATTATTTTATAAATTAACATTTTTTCTCATTTTCTATTTATGTGACAATTATTAACATACCTGAACAATTGGCTTTAATAAAAGAGTGGCTTTTATTTTTCCCTCTGTAGTTATTTATATTTACCACAGGTATTAGTTAGATCAGTCAAAAACCACTACTGTGTGCACACCATTGTATATAGTGTAGAGAAGTTAACTTTGCCGGTTTAGGGCTTTGTTAAAGTAGGAACTGAATAATTTCAGTTTTAAATTCTGAAGTGGCATGTAGATCTTTCCTCTATTAATAACAGTTCTATTGAGTAAAAGTCTAATATGAATGAAAGTTGGCTTATATCTTAAAGTGAATGAAAGTAATTTGTTGTACTACAGAAGAATCCGTTTTGCCTGGCTTTTATAAGTAATTCTAGTGAATTTATACCCTTTATACCTATCTTAAAGATAGTATTTTGCTCCCTGTTTTCTTGTCCTTATTAAATTGCAAAATCTGACACTACTGTAGCATAAAGAAATACTTTGAACAAAAAACTTCAAGTAGAAATGCAGTTTCATTAGAATATTTGAGGTCAGGCATTGTCTTTCTCCTATTGGAATAACACCTTGTTAACTAGTGCTAGCATGAGCAGATAATTATTAGACTTTACAAATTAGCAAGTATGTAAACTAAATAAAGAAAAAATATTTTTACCTCAAAAAATTGTGCTGAGTGTTTTTGGCAAGTATGTCCAATTTCAAAAGCTATTTGGGTTTTCTGTTTTTTATTTTTTTGTTTAATTTTGTTTGTTTGTGGTTCCTGTGCTCCATATGCAGCTTTGTATGTATTTCACAGATAAGGTAATGTTTGAAGCATTTAAAAATTGCCAAAAATTTAGCTAATTTGATTTGAACTTGGAATGAAACCACTGGGTGGAATGGAGGTGTAATAGGGAATGAAAAATCGGGGTGGGTCGGATGGGAATATATATTTATAAACAATATTCCATGGTATTTTTAATGATAATTGCTTTAGGAATTAATATGACTTATTAGGAAAAGAAAAGAAAGAAAAAACACTCCCCACCAAGATAAAAATGCATTTTCTTTTGGAAAGAACCACTTTATTTTCCTCCTTTCTTTTTCTTTTTTCCTTTCCTTTTTTTTCTTTTCTTTTTTTTTCTTTTTGTTTTAAAGATATTTGGGCTATAGGGTGTATATTTGCAGAACTACTAACGTCAGAACCAATATTTCACTGTCGACAAGAGGACATCAAAACTAGTAATCCTTATCACCATGACCAGCTGGACAGAATATTCAATGTAATGGGATTTCCTGCAGGTACACATTATGTTTTTGTTTTTGTTTTTAAATCACTGTTGTTTGAACTTAGATATCTTCATTGGAAAGGTGTGTATCTTTAGCTGATGAAAGCTACTCTTACTCAATTCTTTATGATTTGCATTAATCAAAGATCCTTAGAAGTAGCAAAATTTATAGAGTTCACATATTAGCATAAAGATATTTATGGGTTTTCTGAATTTGAGGAGTATATTTTTGTTTCATTTTATTTTTTTTGTTTTGTTTTGTTGTTTAATATTTGAAATGATAAAATATTTGCAATATCTGAATTAAAAGGTGCCTTTAGTTCTTACCAGGGGAAACTATAATAAAATTCAGTAGTATGTATTTTTGTCTGGCAGCACATATAATAATACCATTACTTGGGATTTAAATACAAATTTTAAACATTATATATAGGGCACTGTACAGAATCACATTATATTGAATAACAGAATTTTTTACCCTATAACCCTTGCCAGTAAGAACATTCTTTTAAGTGTTCTATTAGAACAGCGACCTTGCCTGCACCAATTGGCAGCAGGGAGAAAGTAGTTTAGATGTCTCATCACAGGCGTTAGACCCCTCAGTTTTTCAGCAATATCCCCATCCCTTGTTATGTATGCCATAGCATGGTAGTTCATCAGGCACTAAAGACTCTGCCCAGAGGTCTAGAATAATGAAATTTTGCTTTAAAAACCTACATAATATTGGCTAGTCAGGTATTTATTAGAAATTGTTTCTTACTAGGAATTTTTCTCAGGTCAGGGTAACTCAAGACTAATACAGAAATACCTGGGAGTTATAATTTCACATTTCCTTGTAGGAGTATTAACACAGATACTACCTTTCTGCAGCATTGGTCAACGGGCCTGTGAAGACTGCTTTTTTGTAATGAGAATTTTATTTATTCACTAAATATTTGAGTACCTGCCATGTGCCAAGCACTGTGTTATGCATAAAATAATGTTAATATAACAAGCATGATTCTTGCCTTCTTGGAGTTTATATTGTACTACTCTAAGGAGAATGTTTAAATAATAGCAATGGTTTGAGTAGATGGAGAAGAATGGCCTTTTCTTCCGACTTCTGAATGTGTCCCCCATTTCTAAGACCCAAGAGAAAGGAACATGGCTTACAAGGCGGTGGAAGAGGGAGGTGGCCTCTGTAGGAGATGATTTTTAATGTGTAATTCAACGGTTAGGGGAGGCTCAGCTTATAAGGAAGTTGAAAAGCAGGCAGTAGGGTTTAGATTTAATGTACAAAAGAATGAGAATCCATGATAAGTTCTTGAGAATTAGTGACGTGGTTTATGTTATATTTTAGGAAGATTAGTATGGTTGTGGTAGGTAAAAATCAATTAAAGAGAGGTAACTGAAGTCAGGGAAGCCAGCTGTTTGCCTGTATAGCGGTACTCCAGGTGTAAAGTGATAAAAAGGATGGAGAATAAAGGACAAATACAGAATTTTTTATATGTAATTGAAGGAAAAGTAAGATTATCTCAGGATGTCTAGCTTGAGAAATTAACAAAATAAATTGGAGCAAAGAAATAATTAAGGAGAAAATCCCATGTAGGAGTTTAAAGTATATATTTAGTTGACTTTACAGTGTGATATCTTTGGAGGCTAGGTTGCACAAATCTGTATAAATAAGTTGAAGGCAGATGTCTAAAGGTCATTTAAAAGCTAAACGTGCGGTGAAGCTACCTGTTGTAGTAGCGGCTAGTAGTCTTTCCGCACAAGGCCGTTGACAGTGATGACGAAAACTAGCCCTCTAGCATGTGTTGTCTGAGCAACGCTAAGGCCAGCAAACCACCTGAAACATTTTCTGCCTAATGTAAGCAGCTGGGGGTGTTTTTGTTAATGGTACCGAAACTAGCCAAGCCACCAGCTGACTTATTTGCGTACTAGTTATGTCCTACCCTGTTCTATTCCAGACAATTGTTGCTGCTCACATTGATTGCTACTGTAAAAACAGCGTATTTAATAAAGTGAACATAAGGAGGGCCATGTAAAAAAAAAAAAAAGTGCATCTTACAGCTACAGAGGGGAAAGATAACACATTTGTCATTGAAGACACTGGTTGCTGATTTAACTAAGAAATTGGGTGGAAAGGGGAAAAAGTGGTTTTACAAACAGAAATAGAAATATTTATTAATAACTTATTCCTCTCTACTTACAGAAATTGAGGTAACTTATAGTAAATTACGTAGAAAGTAAGTACTAAATAGATAAACTAGAGATCTAATGCTATACAAGGGATGAGAATTGTATTTATAGGTCAAGATAAGATATTTACTATAGTAATTTATTTGAGGTCTGTGCTTTCATGGAGGTTCAGAGTGTATAGGACATGTGATGAAATTGAGGTAACTTTTTTTTAATTCTTGAGAATAGGAACCTAGACAACATAAAATTTTATCAATGTATTTCACAGATAAAGATTGGGAAGATATAAAAAAGATGCCTGAACATTCAACATTAATGAAAGATTTCAGAAGAAATACGTAAGTTGGAAAGAAAGTAGACCCTTTGTTGATTTTTGCTTTTCCAGAATCCTCAGGATAAGATTGAATACTCAACAGAATACTGAACATAAGCTTATTCTAATAAATAATTTTTCTTCTTTACTTAATAAATATTTTATCTTTTAAGATGTTTAAATGATATAAAGAAGGTAAACAGCTAATTTTAGCAGCTGATTTGGATATGAGAAAGAAACTCTTACCATACTTAATTACTTTCTGGAAGCGAGCATCAATGGAAGGGATCACAGCTGAAGCAGTAAGGTTGCTTATTTCAGTCAAGAAATAAGCAACCTTGCTAGCCGTCAGTTGCCCACCCACCTGGGTTGTGTCGTCATTTTAAGCAAGTTTTAATAGAGAAGAAGGAATATTTCATTTATTTACAATGCAAGATCAGAGCATTGGGAGAGGACAGTTTATAGGCCTATAACAAATTTTTTAAAATTTTAAATTTATTTTAAACTTACTAGTAAGGCTGAATTAAACATTTGACCCATATGTTAAGAGAATTGTTGAGATAACAGTCTTATTAAAAAATAACTATTCAGTGTGTATTATTTATGAAATTATCTTGTGTTTACTCAGTGGTATCCATTCATAAGTGACTAGTGTGAATATTGAATGAAATATGAAATTGAGCTAATGTTATGCCGATTATGCCATTTTCAATAAATATTCTTTATCGGTTGTGATTAAAATAATTGTTTGGAAAAACTTCAGCCAATGTAAAATTAACCTCAAAATCTAATATAGATATTTCATAGTATTTCTCTTTCAGGTATACCAACTGCAGCCTTATCAAGTATATGGAAAAACATAAAGTTAAACCAGATAGTAAAGCATTCCACTTGGTAAGCTTTAGAGAACAATAATAAAATTTTTTTCACTGATTAGCTAACCAGAGGTTTTTTGGGGTCAGTTTATACTGTAATTTAGCACTCTTAGAGTACTTTAATGGTAAATGCAGACATCTTGTTGCTACATATTAGGAAAGGCATAAAAATACTTGTTTTTCCAAACCCATAACATGGTTTAACAGACTGTTTGGTTACATTAGATTTTTTAAAGAGAGTTATTGTGGGGCTCCTGGTGGCTCAGTTGGTTGGGTGGCTGCCTTCGGCTCAGGTCATGATCCAGGGTCCTGGGATTGAGCCCCGCATCAGGCTCTTTGCTCGGCAGAGAGCCTGCTACTCCCTCTCCCTCTGCCGCTCCCCCTGCTTGTGCTCTCTCTCTCACTATCTCTCTCTCTCTGTGTCAAATAAATAAATAAAATCTTAAAAAAAAAAAGTTTTAAAGATAGTTATTGTACCAAGTCTGTGAACATTTTTAAAATTACTTTTATTGGTTTTCATCGATTATTTTAAAATTTCAGAGAAGAATCTAAAAGAAAACCATCCCACTACTCAGAAGTAACTTTCATAGATTATTTTGTATTTCAGCTCTTTGAAAGATTATTTATAAAATTTTTAACTCCCAAGATACTCTTACAGACTTGGGTATTAGAAGTCCTTCAGTGATGGTATGCATTATTTGCTTTTTCTGGAAGAATATGAGAGATGCAGTATTTATTACTGTATAATGGAAAAATAGTTTGACTTAGAATCTAAATGAATCCATGTGCTATTGTAATTTATGACATTATATTCAACTTGCCAACTTAAATTTGTTTACAATAAAATTTCCATTTTTACATCATAACAATTAAAAATGATTTTCAGTTTTATGGGTTTTTTTAAGTTATATAACATACAAAGGGGAAATTTCAGGGAACAGGTTGTATTTGGCTTAAAATTCTTATAATCCTTTAGTCTCAATATTTTTAAATGAGTTCATTAAATGGGAATTTTTTTGTCTCGAAAGTGTTATATTTTCCTTTATTACAGTAGCAGGCCACTTGCAAACATGTCTTCTGTTTCTGCTTTTTCTTCTCTGTCTACTGCTTCTGCTTCTACACCTTCTGTTTATTTTTATATCATGTCATATGTCCTATATTTCATATCAGCAACTTAAAAAGCAGGGCCTAACCTATCTTATTACCACACAATATATTATTATCCAAATAATGGTTTCTTATAATGTACTTACAACAGAACCCAAATAGGAAAGTAAGTTAGATCCTTTAAAATTATGGACTTACTTATTCTAACAAAATAATGATTGTAGTGGTAGACCAAAAGTCACAGTTCAGGGGACTTGCTCTTACTTACCTCCAACTTGCTGCTATTCATTGTAGTCTAAAGTGACTCTCACAACCATCATCACTGAAATTCCAGAGATATACTTCCCTCACAGCTTAGTTGCTTGTTTTTACTGCGGTGACCTATCTTGGGTGGGCCCATCTGAAAGCTCTAATGTAACTCCTGTAAAACTGTTGAGCATTTTAAATGGCAAATCCATGCTTTTCCTTTCAACTCTAAAAATAAAGTTGTGCTTCCACTGAAATATCAGATCATCAAAATTAAATTTAAGTCTTACCGTTCCAGCGTTTCCTCTGTATTTTTCAATATTGTATGTCCTTCTGTTCTCTGATTGTGTCATCTCCCATCAAGTCTCAACGCATCTGTTGGTGTTCAAGTAAGGTGTCCCAGTCCACAGCACTAGAGTCACCTGAGAACTTGGTAGAAAGGCCACTCCTCAGACTCCTGCGCAGATATCCCAGTCAGAGCTCTGGGAGTGGGGCCTAGCAGTCTGCTTTCAGAAGTGCTCCAGGGGCAATTCTGATGTACTGTGAAGTCTGAAAACCACCGTGTTAGATCAAAGAGGATAAGCTGAGAGACCACTACTTAGATAAGCTCTTTAATCACCTACTAAAATCAAATGTTCTAAAATAAATAAATAAAAATAAATAAATCAAATCAAATATTCTAGTTCATAAAGTCTTAAGTAAACTATGTTTTTTACCAAAAAATACTGAATTTTGACATTAGTGTGACATTTCTGTAGGTAGCAAAATAATAACAATAATAATAATAATAATGGCAGCTAACACATAGTGCTTTTTTTGTGTTCAGGTACCATTAGAATTACTTTCCATATATTATCTCATTTAATTTTGAAAACAAACCTATGGTTGTAGGTGCTATTTTTAATCTCCATTTGACAAATGAGGTTACAAAGAGATTAAGCAGCTTGTCCAAAGTCACTCATCTAATAAATGTCAAGACTTGAACCCAAGTGGTATCCTTCGAATCTCCATTCATAACCCCTCTGTACTTTACAAGTTCTGTATCAAGCACCATATTTATTTAGACTAGGATAGCACTGGCCAGGAGAGCTTTCTCTGATGATCTGTGCTGTCCAGTAGGGAGCTTCTAGCCACATGTGGCTCTTGAGCTCTAGAAATGTACCTGATATGACTGAGAAATTGATTTGTTTAAGTTTAATTTGGTTTTAGTTAATTTGGCTTTAAATCTAAATAGCTACATGTGGCTAGTGTATTATTTGTGTTATAATAATTTTCCCCTTAATAAAAAAGGAATAGAAAATACAAGATTTTAGTCCTGTTCTAAACTGGACAAAGCAATCTGCATAATATAGGTCATTGGTTTAGAGTAAGAAGTAAGTATAGTTACTTCTTAATAGAAGAACCAAGTAAGATCATGATTATTAGAATGACTAAATGTGAATTACTACATTAAATGTAATAATCAAGTTTTTCTGTTGTTAATTTGGGGGAATAAATATCCTTCAAATTGTGGTGTTTTCATCAAAAAACATATACGTCCCACATACGGCCAAGGATATAACTATGAGAAGTAACACAGTAATGTTTTTATGATTTATGGTTTCAGCTTCAGAAGTTGCTTACCATGGACCCAATAAAGCGAATTACCTCAGAACAGGCTATGCAGGATCCCTATTTCTTAGAAGATCCACTTCCTACATCAGAGTAAGTGATCAATTTATTACCTCACCAGCATGGTAGAATTTTTTGGAGCATGCTTGTTTGAGTTGTCAACTCCAAGTTGCCACTCCTCTTACATGGGGACCCAGGGAAATCCCAGTGACAAGCAAAAAATGAGTTCTGATGACTGAGGTGTCATTTCGGGCTTTTACAGGTAAGAACCACTCCTGTTCAAGTCTTGCTTTATGAACCCTTGCCATCTTTAGTTTCGGTGGGGCGCCAGTTACTCAGTGGCAGGTTGATTATGCATGCTGTAGCTCACTCAGATTCACTGAGATTGCCCACTGCTTGCAGCTACAGTTTTATGTTCCAATTGCAAATCCCATTCCCAAATAAATTTGTGTTCCCCATGTCACCTTTTATTTTATGTGTAGAAGGGAGAGTAAAAAAAAAAAATTGTGTTTGTATAGTGACATTTCCTCTGGATTCTGTATTTGGGTTGTAATAATAAAAGAGTGAGGCTGGGATAAAAGAAAGTTGAGTCATATTCGATGATTATTGATTATTTTTATACAATGAAAAGTCCTCCCATGGCCTGCTATAATGTCACTGATTAGAAGAAAAGATTCATCTTGTCATAGTTGCATGAAAGGTGCTTATTTTACAAATACGGAAACAAAGTCCATTGTAGAAGAATAAAATGAAGCATCTGAAATATTGATTGGCATACCAGAAATCGTTTTTCTTTTTTCTTGTGAGCAGCGTTTTTGCCGGTTGTCAAATCCCTTACCCAAAACGAGAATTTTTAACAGAAGAAGAACCTGATGACAAAGGAGACAAAGTAAGTATTAAAGTACATTTGGCTGCTTCTTGTTTCATTCAATGCTACCGTAACATTTTCTTGTTTGTATTTGGTTCTCCTTCTGAGTTGAACTTTATTTTTCTGTTTAACCAATTGAGAAGAACCAGCAGCAGCAGCAGGGCAATAACCATACTAATGGAACTGGTCACCCAGGGAATCAAGACAGCAGTCATACACAGGGACCCCCGTTGAAAAAAGTGAGAGTTGTTCCTCCTACCACTACCTCAGGTGGACTAATCATGACCTCAGACTATCAGGTATTTCCAATTTATTTTGTACTGACTTGCCATATCAGTATTTGTATATGGGTTTGTGACCTTTGGAAAATGCAGTATAACTAAGAAAATGCTGACCTTTATGTACCTGGGGAAATATACTGACGTGAGTGTTATTGACATGGAAAAGTACTGACTATGGTACAATACAGGGTACCTACTGACTTTTGAATTAGACAGACCTGGAATGATCAAACTTAAATCATGCCATTTATTAACTGTGTGACCTTAGACAAATAATATAACATTTCCTGGCTTTAGTTTTTCGTCTGTAAAATGAGACTAGCCAAGCCTTACTTGTAGTTCTTATAGGAGTAGACGTAATAAACCCTAGCCCCTGCCTTGTGGTAGGAGCTCAGTCAATGCTGTGTATTGTTTTCAAACAACAGTATACCAAGAATGATTAAGAACACAGGCTTTCAGGGGTGCCTGGGTGGCTCAGCTGGTTAAGCATCTGCTTTCAGCTCAGGTCATGATCCAGGGTCCTGGGAATCTAGCCCCAAGTTGAGCTCCCTCCTCAGCGGGGGGTCTGCTTCTCCCTCTGCCTCTGCCCACCCCACCCTCCCCCCCGGTTGTGCTCTCTCTTGCTTTCTCTCTCACGTAAATAAATAAAATCATAAAAAGAACACAGGCTTTCAGATCCCAGCCCAGCCGCTGACTTTGGGTAACCTTGAGTAAGTAATTCAGACGTTCTCAGTTTTCTCACTTGTAGAAGTGGATGATGGCAAGGATTAATCTCTTCGTAACCTCATTGGTCAAATGGAGATTAAAAATAGCACCTACAACCATAGGTTTGTTTTCAAAATTAAATGAGATAATATATGGAAAGCAATTCTAATGGTACCTGAACACAAAAAAAGCACTATATATAATTATAAACTTTTGTATATAACTTGTTGCAGAAAATGATTCATTAAAAGGCATAAAAATATTTAATACCAAAGAAAATGATTCTGCGCTACCTTTTCTTGTCCTATTCATTTTTATTCTTTAGTCACACGTGTGCTGGGAGGCTTCTGTTGAAGAAACTAGCATGTCAATTAGCTTTGAATTTCTTAGTATATATATCATTAAGTTCATGTATAAACATCTCAAGCAAATTAATTGTTACTTATCAGGTAGTTACAAAACAGCTTAAAAGGGGGATTACTGCTATAGAAAAACAATGAACTGCACTACATAGAAATAAGACCCAGCTTAAAATGAACAAGTCAGGAAACGACAGATGTTGGCGGGGATGCGGAGAAAGGGGAACCCTCCTACACTGTTGGTGGGAATGCAAGCTGGTGCAACC